TTTGAATTTAAACTTATCAAAATTTCACTCTTGACCAATTTTATAATGAAAAAAAATAAAAAATATATTTTATTCACATTTCAAAGCTTTAAAATAAACGCTGGGGGTATTTGATTTGGGGGGAATGTTAAAAAAATAATTTTTTACGTTATTCCCAATCGGTTTTTTTTTTTTTTTCTAATTTTGTAAATTTTCAAAATGTCGGGCGAATAATAAAAAAAAAAAAAAAAAAAAAAAAACAACATTACTGTATAATGAAGTGATTTAAAATGTAAATCCCCCTCCCCCCCCCGTCTTTCCCGTCCTTTCGAACTTTTTCCTTTTTTTTTTTTTTTTTTTTTTTTTAGCTTGTTCGTTTGTTTTAAAGAGTCCCGAAAAAAAAAAAATGGTATTATTGTAAAAAATTTTTTTTTTTTTAAATACTTGTATTTTGTTCGTGTTTAACTTATGTAAAATAATTTCTTTTTACTTTTTTTTTCACGCGTCAAAAATTAATTATGTGTATTGTTTAAGCCATAAATAAGACTGCTTAGTTAGTTAGTTATTAATAATAATAATAATAATAATTTTGCTCATCGTTCGTTTATAATTAAAAAAAAAAAAAAAAGGGATTAGTTCGCGAATCGATCGATGTATCGATATATCGATCGATTTTTTATTGATAATGATAATATGATTTATTCAATGTCAAAGTGAACACACACGTGCGAAATCGGAGAGAGTGAGGAAGTCAACGAAAATTCGTTGTTTATCATTATTAATATTATCATTATTATTATTATTATTAAGGAGGGTGGGGGAAAAGGTGAAAGGAGGAAGGGGGAGAGGGGGGAAAAAAATGAAAACGGTGAAAGTCTTAGAGTGTTGGGTACCGTTCGATGAATCGATACGTCGAAATCGGAATAAGGGTGGTGGGTGGGTGGGGGTACGGAGAGGGGAAGGAAAGGGGAACGTGGGAGGGAGAGTGAGGGGAGGGAATTAACGAAACGAAGGGGGGGAGGGAAAAAAATTTTTTTTTTTATTAATTAAAATCAATTTTTTTATGTGACGTCATCATGTAAGTTAATAAAAAAAAATAATAATAATAATAATAATGAAAACAACGAAAGAAAAGATTTTTAAATTATCTATCTATCTATCGATTGATTGATTGATTGATTGATTGTGGTCGTTCGTTATTTGAAGATCTAGTTAATTAATAATTACTACTTTTATTTTGTAAGACTGAAAAATATAGTTGAAATAAATAAATAAATAATATAAAATACAAAAATAAATCATATGTAAAAAAAAAAAAAGAAAAAGAAAAAATTGTTTGTAAATAAAATTAACGGTAAATAAAAAAATTAATTGAAAAATTTTATTGATAATGAAATAAAAAAAAATAAAAAAATTTAATTAATATTATTATTAATATTATAATGTATAGTATAATATAAATAAATTAAATTTATTATTATTAATATGATTATTTTTAATTAATAATCACACACGACTATCCATCCATCCGTCCGTCCTTAATAACTTAAATCCAAAATTTTTTCAATAAAAAAAATGTTAAAAAAACGTTAAAATGTATCCGTAAAACATAATACCCAAGGAGGTATAGAAAAAAAACTAAAATTCAAACAATGAATTCCCGCTTAAAATAAAATGTGTGTCAGGTAAAATATACAAGGTCGACCTTGAATGCAAAAACGTGACCATGAAAAATTTTCACAAAATAAAATTTTAAAACTGGTGGCCTTGTATTCAAGGTCGACCTTGGTTGAAAAATCATGACCATGAAAAATTTTACAAAATCGAAATGTAAAACCATTGGCCTTGGATTCAAGGTCGACCTACTTTAGAATAAATCGTAAACGTTGGATTTTCGCGGTCATTTTTAACTTTATTTTTAATCGACGAATTTTTTTTCCGATGTATCCGTAAAACATAAGATCCAAGGAGGTTTTTTAGCGTAATAAGACGCTAAGTTGGATTCTCGCTTATAAAAAAATGCGTATACGTTGGAATTTCGTTTAAAAAAAATTTAATAGGAATTTATTAGGAATAGTTGGTATATTAAATAAATAATTTAAATAATTACGAAATAAAATTTTCATTTATTATTATTATTATTAATAATATACAATTAAAAATTTAATTGAAATTAAAAAAAAAAAAACAAAAAAAATTTAAAAAAAAAATTTAAAGTTTTTTTTTCGTTTTTTTCGTTTTTTTTTTTTTTTTCTTCAAAATTAAATAAAATAAATAATATTAAATAATTATTTAAAAACATCACAGACGAAGCAGTTGTTTTAAAATTAAATTGACAACTTTATCTATATGTTATAAATAACTACTTAATCATAATCATTTTTTATATATATATTTTTTTTTTTCACTTTTAACACTTTTTCACATAAAACTTTTTTAACTTTTTTTTTTTTTGAACTTTTTTGTTGGCTCCACTGATTTTATTATTTTAACCCCCGGTCATTAATTTTCAATTTTTATTTAATTTAATTTTAAAAAAAAACAAATTCTCGTATTCTATCGTATAACAAAAAAAAAAAAAAAAAAACGGAAAAGAAATAGAAAAGTAGTAACGAAATTTTTTTAAAAACTATTTACATACACGTCTTCGTTTAAATATTGCACGAAAAAAAATTAATGATAATGATAATAATGATAATAATAATAATAATAATAATAATGATAATTCGTTTCCTTCTCACACTCCAATCATCATCATCATCATCATCATCATCATCTTTTATTTTTTTAAAGAAAAAAATTATTAATAAAAAGCGCGTATCGAAATTGCAAAGACGGCGACGATGACGTCACATCACCAAATCATGGAAGAAGAAGAAGAATCGTCGTCGAGAGAGAGAGAGAGTGAGAGAAACTCGTTTATTTACTCTATGTAAATATCTTCGACAGGATAAGCAGTCTCTATAAATTTTTGATAAAATCTTTGAAAAGCTCTCCTGAAACCGAAAGAAAAAAAAAAAAAAAATTATTTTATATTCGTTTCGATCTATCGATCGATAGATCGATCTATCGATCGATCTATCGATATTTCTATCACTTACCCGACAGATTCGGCAACGGGCCTCGTCGAATCGTTACCGATAAAAACGTGACACGCAAATCTGTCACATTGGGGATGTTTCGTTATGAAACCCAAATATCTTTGGTCCCTCGGATGAAATGCGCAAAATGAAACATTTTTTAACGAATAAAAATAATCGTGACAAGGTATTTCCTTTCTCTGTAAACAAACAAAATGGCGCCGGGTTAAGGTACTCGTTCCCTCGCTCTCTCACCCTCTCACTCGCACGCTCTCTCACTCACCCTCACCTGGGGTTTTTTCCTGTCGACCATTCTCAAACCCGTATCCGATATTTCTAATATACACGAATGGGGGGCATAATTTTTAGATTTGATTTTTTTAACCGCTTGGCACAAAACCGAATTTCCCTTGTGGTACAAAGTTTCCACGGAACCTAAATACCCGAGTATGAACCTTTCCCTTTTCACTTTGGGCGTGCTCGGATCGAAATCGTCGTAATCGACATCTACGACGTAAGCAGATGGAAATATTCCCTGTCCTCCCGTTCTTAAATTGACACCTGAAAAACATAATCATCATTATCATCATCCACATCAACAAAGCAGACGACAAAATGAGTTTTTTTTTTTCATTACCTTCGCACCATAAATCGTCTGCTTCTTTATGTACATATATCGGATCACCGATTTCGATTTCAACTTCGTCGTGATGTCTTCTTATAAACTTGTGGAGACCTCTATGTGTAGGATCTAAAAGTTCCAAATTTGTAAACGATGATAATGATGATTGATTTTGTTTTATAGGTGACGAAGACGATGGAGAATTAGGCGATGTTGAATTGTTATGGTTGTGGTTGTTGTGGTTGTTGGGGGGTTGGGGCGATACGGATTTTATACAATCAGGTGAATGGGCAGTTGAATTTCCAGAATCGACATCCGTGCTGTGAAATTTATCAGAATCCGGCGAACTATCTTCGTCACGTAGATAATTGTGACATTTTAATATCGTCAGGGGTCTCGTTTGACCCCCAATATCGAAATTTGGCTTTTCTATATTTGTCTTTTCCAATATCGAACCTAATTCTTCTGCTAGTGTTAATGGTTTTGCAACAACGGCTGGAAAAATAGAAAAAAAAAATTATCAATATTATTATTATTTTTTGTTTAATGATTATGGGGGGGGGGGATGGGGGAGAAACAAATTTTACTCACTCTTTCTGTAAATTGGTATTTCCGGTAATTTTCTCCTTCTTCTTTCTCCACCTCCACCTCCTCCTCCTCCTCCTCCCATAACATTTCCTATATTTTCATCTTTTCTCCAGTGAACTATTTTACCCCATGACGTATCTTCGACGTCACAATAACTTTCGTTATTATTATTATTATTGTTGTTGTTATGATGATGACAATCATCGTTTCTACCGGATGTTAATGATGATGATGATGATGATGAATGATTCCTATAAGTATGAGGGTGGTTAATTAGATGAACAACAATTGTCCGCCTAATTAACCATATCACGTGATTAATTTTTTTTTCTCTCTCTCTCTCACACACACAAACTTTTCTCCAACATTTTAAAACCCGATTAAAAATTTTTTTTTTGACATTTTCGGCCAAACCTTTTCTTTTTCAGGTATAGGGGAAGGAAGAAGGACGAAACGGGAGATGAGGGGACGGGGAGTTCCCACAGGACGTGAATCATTTTGTTTCCTTCGTCATCCGAAATACCTATATGTTTATCTGTTTGTAAGTTTTGTTATGTTTCCCGAATGGTTCGATATAATCGAAAAAAAAAAAAAAAAAAAACAAAATGGCGACGATGAATATTTACAATTGCAAATTATTATTATTATTTTTTTATTGCGGTGATGCAAATAAGCAAATCGAAAAAAAAAAATTTTCGCACGCGTGCCTTTTTTTTTAATTTTGTTATGTAAGCCGGATAAAAGCGGAAACGGAAACCAGGTGAGTGTTTATATGAACAAAAAGCAACAAAAACAACAACAACGGTTGCAATATCGTGGAAATTAATAATAATAATAATAATAATAATTTTTTGTTTGTTTTCGTCGTAATAAGATTCGTGCAATTCGTGCGAGTTGTCCAAAAAAATATTCCACCCCACACACACCCGCACACACACCCGCACACACTCTCACACACACACGTACTAAATTAGTGCCCCGTGACGTCATCACTCACACATCGACCATGATCATTAATAATAATGATAATAATAATGAAAAAAATACCTTTATCGTTTGGCCTGATAACTTACAACAAACACTTATAATAATAATGATAATAATTTAATAATAAAAAGACTTATTGTAATGATTGATTGATTGATTGAATGAATGAATACTACCTCACCTTGATGGTTGTTTTTTATTTGGGGATCCTTCTGTTATTGTTGAATTGTTATCAATGCATTCGGTTTTCAACCATAGAGAACTATGTTTTGGTTTTTCATTTTTCATTTCCTCTCTTTCGATGGATTCCGGGGATGATTTTTCATCAAAATTTATTTCGTGTAGGAGTTTAAAAAGAAAAGCAAAAAAAAAAAAAAAAAAATTTCCAAAAGAATTTTCCAAAAAAAAAAAAAAAAAAAAAATGGGGGTCTCTCACCGGGAAAGGCTTGACATTTAAATTTCATCGTATCATTATTATTATTATCATTATTAATTTTTCTAATTCACGATGATGATGATGATTTAAATTAAATAAAAATTACTCAAGTAATAATAATAATAATAATAATAATAATAATAATAATAATAATGATACGTAAAGTTAATATTCGCTGGATAGAGAAAAAAATTTTCTTGTTTTTTGTGGGGAGGGGGGGAGGGAGAGAGGGAAAAGGTTAAAAAAAATAAAAAAATACTCACGTGTACATTTGAGCTTTTGCTCTAACATCATCAGGCATAAATTGATGATTATTTAATTCTTCAAATTCTGTGTCGGCCATTTTTCTTTTCAATTTTCCTTTTCACTCTCTTTTTGTATTTTCAACGTACGTCTCTTGATTTCTTCCCCCACGAAAATAACTCCTTGTTCTCCTACGCTTGTGCACAAATTATATTGATTTTTTCTTTTAAAAATTTAAAAAAGGGATGTTTTTCACCGTTAGAGGGCGTTTTTTATTCATTATTATTATTATCGTAGTCGTCGCCGTCGTGGTTTTAAATACTGGAATCCATTTTGATTTTTTTCCCCTTCTCCTAACGGTTTTTTCCTAACGGTTTTTTAAACATTTTTCCTACGGTTTTTAAATCTCCCTGGAAAGATCTGGATGAAAATTTTTCCCTTATCATTTTTCCAGCCCCATCACATTTCTTTTTACATCCCTTATCATCATCATCACGGTGATAACAAATTGACTGATAACGCTTTAAATTCCTACACATAGTATTAATAGAGTATTAGTATCATAAATGGAAAAGACAAAGAGAGAGAAAGAGAGAGAGAGAGAAAGAAAGAGAGAGAAAGAGAGAAAAAGAAAGAAAGAGAGAGAGAAAGAGAGAAAAAGAGAGAGAAAGAGAGAGAGAAAAAGAGAGAGATAGAAAAAGGAAATGAATATAATTTATGATAATAATAATAATAATAATAACAACAACCAAAATTTTTAATAATAATAATAATAATAATTATAATGTGTATAGTAATATGACTATTTAAAAGCAGAGATGTTGTATTGAACCAATTTTTTAAATTTTATTTTATTAATAATAATAATAATCAATGTATTACATTCGAGCAAAAAAAAAAAAAAAATTTAATAAATAAATAATAATAATAATAATAATAATAAGTATTAAAATGTAAATGATAATAATAGATAATAATAATAGATACAATGATTTATTATTTCTTTTTTTTTTTTTTGATAATCCCAAACAAACAGCCTTCGTTTAATAATTTAATTAATTAATTAATTAATTAATAATAATAATAATTTTTTGGTAAAAATTTTAATTTTAATTTTTTTTTTTGTCAATAATCACAAGAATGGTCTGGAAATTTTTGGAAGGCACTTGTCTAAAATTAAAAAAATTTTTTTTTTTTCTTCGATAAAATATATATATATATATATATATATATATATAAATACACAAACATTCGAATTTTCTTATATATATATATATATATATATATATATATAATAAAATTGATTAAAATTTTTTTTTTTTTTGTCGAAATCCATTAATCAATCAATCAATTAATTTTAATTTAATCGAAAGTTTTAATTATTATTATTATTATTTCTTTTATCATGTCAAATATATATATATATATATATATATATATAACAACAAACTAATGAAAATAAATAATAAAGAAAAAAAGAGTAAGAGAGAATGTATACAAATTAAAAATGATTATACTGTTTCGATAATTAAATTTAAAAAAAATTTACAAATGTGTTTACACACACCTATATATAATAATAATAATAATAATAATAATAATATTTTAAATTGTCGTATTTAAATTAAAATCATAAAACATGATAAATAATTAATAAAAATCAAAACGGTTACAACCATCATCTCTATTTAATTATTATTACTATTATTATTATCATCATCATCATCATTTGTAATATTAATCAATTTGAAATTAATGAAAAAAACAGTGATAATAATAATAATAATAATAATTAAAATCATCAATGTTTTATTTATAAATCAAACGATCGATCAATCAATCATTCGATTAATTCGATTATCCAATTGTTCTTTTTTTTTTATTTAAAAATTATTATTATTATTATTATTATTTTTTACATTAACAATCAGAAAAAAAGAAAACAAACAAATAATAATAATAAAAAGAAGGAAAGAATTTATCTTTTACTAAATTTAAATAAAAAAAAACAAAATTTTAAAATAAATTAATCGAAAGAATGAAAGAAAGAAAGAAAATGAAAAATAATCGAAATTGAAATTTTTTTTTTTTTTTTTCTGTTTGTTTCCTTTCTTATAACTAATAATTAAATTATTATTATTATTATTATTTCACTTATATACTGTATTATTATTATTATTATATATATATTTATAAGAAGGGACCATCATAATAATAATATTAATCATTTTTTAAAATTTTTTTTTGCTTTTTTTTATAATTAAAAGTTATTTATTATACACAAAAAAATTTTTTAATTTTTTTTT